ACCGTGGGCGCCCGGCCCGGCCCACTCCCATGTCCAGCGCCGGGCGCAGGGACACTCGGCTCCCTCACTCGCCGGAATGGACCGGAAGCTTCTTCCGAGGAACTCGCAGCTGCGACAGCGCCGACCCCACTTCCTGTGGAGCCAGGGACCATGTGGCCACAGGGAAGGTGACGTCCACCCCGAGTGCTAAGAACTACTTAAAAGCGCTTGCTTTTAAGTCGACCTGGGAGCCAGGAGGTCACGGCTCATCTCTGGGTCAGGGCACGTGCCCAGGTGGGGGGCTCAGTCCCCAGTGGGGGGCGTGCAGGAGGCAGCCAATCAATGAGTCTCTCTCATCGTGGATGTTTCTATCTCCCTCTCCCTCTCCCTTCCTCTCTGAAATCAATAAAAATATGTTTAAAGCCGAAACCGGTTTGGCTCAGTGGATGGAGCGTCGGCCTGCGGACTGAGGGGTCCCGGGTTCGATACCCACCATGAGGAAGATTCTGAAAACATGTATTATTGGACACTGAAATGCTAATTTTTAAAATGTTTTTAGCCTGAAGGGTTAGGAGCCAGGAAAGCAGTTCTTGGCTTTTCTCTTTCCAAAGGCGCCTTTTGTGTGGCAGCTTTCACCCCTTTGCCCAGCTCAGGAAGAGGAACGAGTAAACTTCCATTCATGACCCGGCCGGTTTGGCTCAGTGGAGATGGAGCGTGCCTGCGGACTGAGGGGTGCCGGGTTCGATTCCGGTCAAGGGCATGTGCCTGGGTTGCAGGCACATCCCCAGTGGTGGGTGTGCAGGAGGCAGCTGATCGATGTTTCTCTCTCATCGATGTTTCTAACTCTCTGTCTCTCTCCCTTCCTCTCTGTGGAAAATCAATAAAATATATTTAAAAAAAAATATGTTTAAAAAATAAAGTGCTTTAAAATTGCTTGTCAGACCATTTGTTGACCCTTTGATTAAAAAGAAGACTTTTGGGGGGCAGGCAGGACAGAGGGGGTCGCCGGGGAAGGAAAGGGGACAGCTGTAATTCTTTCAGTAATAAAGATCAGCCCTGACCGGTGTGGCTCAGTGGATAGAGCGTCGGCCTGCGAACTGAAGGGTCCCGGGTGCGATTCCGGCCAAGGGCATGGACCTTGGTTGCGGGCACATCCCTAGTAGGGGGCGTGCAGGAGGCAGCTGATCGATGTTTCTCCCTCATCCATGTTCCTCACTCTCCATCCCTCTCCCTTCCTCTCAGTAAAAA